CAAATCTTTCAGTACTAAAAACACATTTGTTCTCAACAGTCTTCAGTTATTATTAGTAGGTGAACAATGTCTGCTAATACCAGTCAGTGTGATGTGTGATGTACATCCTTCATCCAGAAATTGCAGGTCTAGTGAATCTCCACTGATGAGTTTGTTTCATTAGTGATAGTTGAATTCACAACTTCTTCCATATTACGGTACAGTATCATCCCTTACTCCACATTTCCATGTGACAAAAAGCTTGAAACAGTGAAACGAATACTTTCACACCAAATTAACAAGTGGAACTTGCTGAATAAAGTATACTCTTTGTTAATTGCTTGTTTACCAGCCAACGTTTGGTCGATCAAAGAGATGATTTGTGAGGCACTGTTGCTGCAGAAACACTCATTCAATACGGCATAGATATAGATAGCTGTCCTGTGTCCTGTGTATGACAAGACACAATTCTTGAATTTTACTGCTAGTCAAAGCTCTGAAAATTACGGCGTGCTGCAACGCAATAACCAAGTATCCCTTACAGGAGTTCATCTGTCACTTGTGATGGAAGAGAATATTCGCAGGTCAATTGGATGATCTTGGTTTTGTTGTGTTGTCCATCTGGGTGGGTTAGTAAAGAAGCTTACAGTGTCTTTCTAGACAACATCATCAAGACTAACATCAATATAAAGTGAGCTGCCAGTATTTCTCCATGAGTGATTCAGAAGCCTACTCTGACGATCTGGCTTGTGATTGGTTGCTCCCTCCAAATGTTGTGTCATTGAGTGCATGGGTTTTCCTGTTGGTTGTTTCTCTGCCTGACTTCTGAACATTTTGTCATTTATCATTTTTATTATTGGTTAGGATTAGCTTCTAGGAACTCTCTGATATTTTTTGTGTTTCCTGTGACTAAGATTTCCACATTGTCAAGAGTGAATTCATGTCTGTAATTATCCACATGTGTTTAAATGAGCCATGAAATGTCGTGACGTTTAATCTCCAATTGGTGTTCATGTAGACGAAGGCGAAGAGAGTGACCCCTTCATCGAATGTAATGTTGATCACAGTTATTGCAGTTGATTTTGTAAAGGATATTTAAATTGTCTTCCTTGGCTGTGCTTCTCTTAATTTGCACAATACGGTTTGAGGGTCAGTGAACCAAGCCAATTCATAAAATCAAGCAGCGGAAACAACCAGTTACAGACCACTTTGTCAGAGCAAGTAACTGAGTCACTCAAGATGTGATGTTGACAGCTTACTTCATAATGAGGTCAGTGCCAATGCTGTTTCCTAGAACGACGATGGAAGCATCTGGATTAAACCACCTAGCTCAGAGAATACAACATAACCAAGTTCATGTGTCACTAAAAGATGATCATAAGGTAGTAATTACTTGTAGCTGAAGGTATTGGTTTCAAAGGTGCTGCCTTCTTTGAGTTGCATGATTCACTTTTGAAGATTTTATTGTGATCTCAGGCATATTATTTCACACTAGGGAAATATTCTGTACTAAATACACTCCATCTCATTTACACAACGAATAAGGATTCATGACATTCCTGTAGTATTTTTAGTCCCTTTATAGGCAAGTTTAGGAATTATTAGCCAATAAACCTGTGTACTAGCTCTGCACAGCTTCATCAGAGCGTTTTTTGTACAAAATACATGTATATAATGTGGACCTTCAAGCAAGTGGAACATAGCTGTGAATTAGGTTCAGCATTCAATGGGACCATTGAATATTTTACTCATTTGTTGTTTGATCGAATAACCCTTCATGATATAAAATAACGGTTGAACACTACTCACTTTATATGACAGTGTTGTGTGTCCCTAGTGGCCAATAAAATAACGGATGAGTAATTCGATAACTAAGACTGTAGTAAGTATATTGATTCACTTCGGAATAAGTACTTTTATCAGTTTAGAAACTTATGAATCGGTTCAAATCTGTGCGTAAAGCATACTTTGAAATGAAAAGTGAAAAAACACCTATCTCATTTGTTCAGATGTATGTGTAATACTGTAGTTTATGAAGATCTCAGGATATCATGTTGACACTAGATGACTTACGTTTTCATCTTGCAAATGATTTTACTTAAAAAGCCAAAACCTTTTGTCTTTCTCCTTCTGGTATAACGGATTAAACAGGTCATAAATCTCCGGCTAGTTTGGGCTTCAACAGATTAGCAAACATACCAGTTTATTCTATACTTCTCAGCAGCATACATCTTCAGCATTTACAAAGATCATTACCATAACCGGTAGTCTTATGATGAACACAAAAGAGTTCATGGCTACTAAAAAGCAAACGGTTGATATCATGGTTCATATCACTAGTCAACATAATTACTGAGGTTTTATAAGTCTGAAGATTATAGTATATCAAACCAGTCGTTAAAATTTCAATCACTTTCAATAAAACAGTGTGTAAAGTCTTTAAGAGAGTGTCAATCACTGCTGTTATCGATTTATCACATAATACGTCAACCATCAAGAAAATCTTTGATAAGTTCCAAAAAGTATGTTGTGAAGGAAAAGTAATGGGTAGATAAAAGATTCTAGCAGGTGAACTTCAGCTTAGGAGGTTATATGACTAATGAAACACTTGTTTACCGCAATCAGCTACAACAACAACTACTACTACCTCACTTTGGATTCTACTGTTTAGAACTTTCGCTATCACAGTATACCACCTTGAACAAGTATTTCAGAGAGGAGTTAAAGTTATTTATGGGACCAGATTTAATAGTTTAACCTACATAAATAAGAAACACATAAAACTGGAATAAACAGATGAGAATATGCAAGGAGGTCAAAGACATTGTTTAGTCACGAAAACTTGAGAGAATGACAGCGAAAATAGCAGTGGATTAAGTGATTAAAACGATCGATTACTAATAACTGAATCCTGCAGCTTCATTTCTCGCCTATTTAACTCATAATCCACACCGAAATAACTTTCATATGGTTAGTTCTCTTTTATAAGTTTGAATAAAGTGAGAACAAGAATCTGAGCATAATAAGATAACGTCACTTCATTTCAGATGTTCTGTTCACCTAATTATAGTCTAGATAACAATTAGACGAAGGAAAACACTACAATTTTTCAGTGAGTTTCACTACCTGACTAACCTTGTGGTGAAGAAGCAATCATACGGGAAGATACTATTCCTAAGCACAAGAGTAGATGATTGACACTCAAAAGGTTCAATTATCGAAAGTCTGTGAAGAATGGACAGATGATAATCCTGCATGGCTGAGTTGCATTAGACTTAGAATAAATCCAATTCACTCCATTTCTTCTCACATTCGAGGGATTTGTATTTCTGACTCTTTAGAAGATGAGATTTAACTATGATACCCAGAAAGATCTGTGGATAAAAATTTGATTTCAGATAACATCAGTTGGTGACCTGTAAGTGTCAAGCTACTTTTGAATTTGAAATTCAACACATATGCAACAGATGAGTGCCGTCAAATGAACATCCTATACAGTCTCACTAGAAATCACCTGTATTAGCCACTGCATAATGAACACATGGGCAAACGAAAAACTTCCACTACTAGCCACTTTCATGAGTATATATCAATTCACCTGCTTCTGTGCAGCATAGTGCATAAGCTGTAAGCACAAATAGATTTTCTAACATCGATACCATTACCCTTAAGCATGGCGGGATAAAGGATAAATCGAATCAGTCAGTGGCTGCATACTGCAACACTACGTTGACAGCGGATAAATTTCATGGAGAATCATTTGCAGCAGTCTACAAAGTACAACATAATCTTCCAGAAGGGTGTCAAGAAGAAGAAAAATTAAAACTAGAATTATATGTATGTATATTCACTGTCCTTATTCACTTACTAGCATTCCAATTCTTAAGCCTAACTAACCTTTCTCGACCTTATTTATTGCTGGTACGAATGAAAGTGTGTTCGGTCAAATTACTAACGCTTCATTCAGGTGATGACAGAAGATGAGGTGAAAATCTGAACCGTGGTCGGATTCGAACCACTGACCACCAGGTGGTCACCAGGTGGCTCTCGGATGTACCGACCACTGTCCAGATTTTTGCCTCATGTTCAATCATCACCCAGTATTAATATTATTTTCCTGCTCCCAACATACTCAGAATTATTGACTGATGAACGTTGACATTTCCACCAATAACAGTGAACACTTATTATTCATTTGACTGAAATTGTACAACTTCTTAGAATGATATCACCAAAGGAAATTGTTTACTGAAGTTTTTATCTCCTTATGACTCATGCAAAAGTGGGACAGAGTTACATATTTTAAGTGAGTTCATAGGAAAAATGTTCAGTCGACAGAAAACATATCGAGATGATATTAGCACATCCAGTGAAGCTGGAAATAGAAGTGTGGAGGGTGAATAAAGAAAGGGTTAACTGTTCTCATAGCGTATTAGCTTGATTATTCTGGGAACATAATAGAGAGACGTAAAGCTGCTACAAACAGTAAAAGTTGGATCACTGCTTATATAAGCACCATGAAAAGAAAAGACACTAATAAGAAGGATGAAATGAAGTGAAATCAGAACGGAATTATAAAGAAGGAGAAGAGAGGGATAAGTTAGTGACCTTACGTAATCAAATATAACAACCAATCAAGGTAGTGGAAGACTTACAATCTAATCTCGTCCTGTATCTATTCATTTGGTTTGAGCTATTTGGTGGCAATTGCTTCTAATAAACTCAATGAATTCGACTTCACAAGCTTATTACTTGTTCCAAATCATCTCTAAATGTATATATCAAGTTCCTTGGTGAATGATAACATCATGAACTGATGAAATTCATTTTCGTTAAAAAAAGATTCCAAATATGATTATTTTTTGTTAACTGAAATCTTTCTTTTAAATACTTCCTTTCAAAGAATTTTTTGATGAACCATTTATAAATGATTGTGATCATACTAAATGTGGACCACATGCACATTGTGTAAAGAAAGTGGATGAAATGTCACTTGTGTTTGTAATCTTTTATTTGCTCCTATGGATCTTGATCCAGGTATTCCACTCGAGTGTCGATGTAAGTTATTTCTATCATTATTCTGATATTATTTTTACAGTATGCAGGTTAAAAATATTTTCATTTTGATTATTTGAGTGAGGCAGTCATAATTTGTCAAACTAGTATTGATACTAGGTGATGATGGAAGATGAAGTGAGAACTTGAACCACGACTGGATTCGAACCAGAGACCACCAGGTTTCTGGCCTGATACTCTACCAATTGACTACTGACCAGATTTTTATTTCAGACCTCGGACCTCCTAGCTCAGTTGGTAGAGCATCGGGTCAGGAACCCGGTCGTCGCTGGTTCGAATCCGGCTGTTGTCCATATTTTCATTTCACCTTCAGTCATCACCCAATATAAAAAGTAGTTTGTTTTGGAATCTTCTTAAGTAGGACTGTGATCCATTGAGGTGGTATTCCTTAGGATAGGAGAGAAACTGCTGGTCTTCAGCTGTGGCTATGTTACACAGAATAGAGAATTTTAGACCTGACATATTCGGTTATTTAGCTAATATCAAATTAGCACCTTCTTGCCAATGGGCGTCAACCAGTTTCAACAAGCACAAAACTTACATGTAAGGCTTTCTGTCGATTAACATCTTCACCTGGAAGAGTTCCATTTCCTCTATATTGATACCTGTAGTTTCTTGTTGCTTTATAAACGTGAATACAATACCAGGAATACTCGGCAGTATCGAGATATCTGCATAGGAGCCCATCTCCTAACATAGGTCAGGCAACTCGACCCCGTATAGCTACGAGAAATTACAAGTATTCATAACAATAACTGGTGCTCGTTGCACAAGTAGTGGGTATTTGCCCCAGTGGCCGAGTGGATAACGCTTTGTCTTTTGAAGCGATGGGTAGGAGGTTTCAGTATCAATGGGAACAACATTCACTGGGGTGCAGCTGCATCCAGCTGACGGGTCCTAAATAGGACGAAAAGTGCGTCCTAGATTCCACTACTAGTCACTAGAATCAAGTTGAATTATTTATTTATTTTGACAACAGGAGAAAGTATCTGGGTACTAATATCTCATCAATATTTCAAGAAAGCCGCTTAGGTAGTTACCAGTACAGTCTGATATAGGTCAATAGACTAGCATGGGTCCAAAAAACACATAATGCTGTTTCTCTTCATTATGAAACTCTTCAACAGTGCACTCACATTACACTACACACTCTACAGCTTACAACTTTCATATTTTATAAATAGCACATAATATTTAGCCACTGAAATGAAATTCTTTGGTTCGCAACCTACTGTAATTTGACTCAGTTGTAATATGAATGCCAAGAGACAAAACAGTAACAGGACTTACTTGTGCGAGGTTCAAGTACGTGGCACCTGGTTATCTCAACCTGAAACTAATCAGTAGACAGATAATAATAGTTCATATTATAATGAATCAGTTTTCTACCTAGTAGTCGAGTATCCAATAATCACAGTGTTATGCTCAACTTTGTCTACAAACAGTCAAGTAACATCTTGAAATTCTCTGAGAAATGCACTCACTTTAATCTTGTAAATTACAAAAGTCTGAGTTATTAATCACTTAATCCAACCTTCACAGGCTTTGATTGGTTCGCCAGCTGATATCGTGAAACATAACACCTTGGAGTTTCTTGATTCTAATGAATTGGATTGATAAGGTCCATGGTATACATATTCTAAATATTGGATGCATAAAAGTCAGGTTAAGTTAATGTCTTTGAAAAAAATGCACGAAATCATATACCTTGATGAGAATATAGTAGGCTCTACTACATATTAATATAGTTTGCTAATGTTTCCAATGAATCCTCATTACAAAGATAACTTGATGAAAGGATTATTCAATTAGAATATTAGGATTACTTTATGCGAAACAAAGGAATATCTTAAAAGTACCACTAACAGTAATGATGTAACTTTTTTACGAGCATCATCTTTCATTTAGAAAATTTATCAGTTTACAGTTTTTAAACCTGACAAAGCCGATACAAACCGTCTTTAATTGTTGACTCAATCAGTAGTCGGCAATTAAATCACTTCCATAGACGAAGATGAAAAAGAACAGATTGTTCTTGGAAGCAACTTCAAATGCCCATATTTAGGTACTACTACCGCATTGTGTATACCATAGTAATCACTACATGACTGACATTTCCAAGAATAAACCTGGTTATTATAGAAATTTGACCAGATGATCTCTATTACATGATAGTAACATCATAAGAATATGAGGAAAGCAACGTTAAAATGCGTCTGTATGCATTTTCTAATCCACAAAGATTTTCTAGTTAGTAATATTTCGCAAAGGTTTATCGCAGTACGTACTGCTCTATTGAACTGAACCTGCCATTAGAATACTTTAGTCAGTTTGGTTCCCGAATTCAGATGTGCAAAGTGTATTTATTACCTGGTATCTTATGTGAAATTTAGCGTCTCTGCACCAACATCGATATCTTATAACTTGTTGTTGATTCACTTGTAATTCTTCGTTGTTTTGCTGGATCGAATTGTCCGACTTCTGTTGGTATATGAGCTGTTATCCGGCCCTGTGACATTTGAAGCGATGGGTAAGAGACTCGAGTTTCACTGGAAACAACATTACTCACTGAGGTGCAGGTTTAGAAGGCTGACGAGCCCCAAATAGGACGGAACGCGCATCCTGGATTCTTCTGCTAGTCACAACTAAGTGAATTATCAATAACTTGTGTTGTGAATGCTTTGTTAAGGAATGTTATCATCGTCATCATAATCAAGTTGTCTCATAAAGTGTTTCATAGCGTAATGAAACATTTTTGCTTGTAAATATTAGGTGTGGATAGACACGAAACTCTGATAGACCAAATGTTATGCTTATTGACACCCATCAATAAAACTGAATCATGAAACCCTGAGGATATTCAAACTCGGTTTTTGTTGTTGTTGTTGTTGTGTGCCACCTTCACATTCTGTCATTTCATATCCCTAATGTTGACTTCATGCAGACTGTTCGAAATCACTAAATATGGACAAAGAGTGCAGTTGGATACACAGTTTGAATAAGGTTGTTCTGTGAAGTGAGCGATCAGTATGCTGCATCCACCTATCGTTTCCAGGTGTTTTTGTACTTCAGTTTTACTTGAAGTCTGTGTGAATAAAAATATCAAATGTGACCAACTAGTAAAAGCATCGTGATTCAATTCACAGAAAATATCATTATGGAATTTCTAATTCGTAGGTGTTGCATCACCTACAAACTGCTGATCACTGACGATTACATGAAAATACCGGCAACTTATTGGTGTGCATATTCTCAGAGGCTACAAAAGTTTCTTTACGAGTCCTAGCAAACCTTTTTAATGACAGGTAAAAGCATGAGATTTGTGTCAAATTTCACCAATTATTTGGTACTGAATTCTTTATATCATCAAGGAGTAAATGAGCTCATATTTTAGGTGGCTGGAGGCAAATGGCAGGGAACCGTATGGCGAATATGTTTCTTCCTTGTTGACACTCATCAACAAGGCATATTTGCAACCTTTAGAGAAATGATGTCCCATGTGAGACGTTACCACTGAGCTATTCGGTCGGTGACTTGGCTCCTGCACGATTGGATTACATACATTCGTTGGCTACTGTTGAGCAGTATATTTTGTGTTGTCTAGTGCGAAGTTCTGATGGAATTCCCTTGATACCTTTTCAGTGCATTCATCTAGATAGGAGGAACAGAATCTCGATGGATATTGGTTGGCATAAGGGGTTGAAGGCGATCGGCTCAGTGATAGTGTTTGTGACTACACAGATCTGGCTGGTGTCATCTCGAGTTTATGCAGAAACCACTTCCTTCAAGGCTGCAGATGCATCTTGCTAATGATCGCCAAGAAGCACAAAGCCTAGGTCCAGGGATTTCTGCCAACAGTTTCCAACAAATTAACATCAACCTAACAGCACCATGCTGACTGGTCCCCGAACTAGATGACCAAATTAGAAGAACTCGACTAGCACTTAAGACTAGACAGTATGAAAGTGATCATTCTGTAGTGACGAGTCGATGTATGAACATATACGTAGCTGTTACTTCGGTTACAGTGTATGCTTCTGTAATCAAGTAATCAGCAAATGGAACTAACTGGAAACCTTCTCTACTCCTACCTAAAGAATACATCTGAAGGTTATCTGCCATACGAAAGGAAGTATGATGGGTAGTTTCTAGCAAACAATTATTTCACTGCTAACATGACTGACTTTATTGTAGGTCAAACAGCCAAATACAGTTAGGTCTTGTATCGATTTTGTCAGCTGTTTGTCTTCTGAATTATGAACAAGTGGATGTTTAACAATGTAAAGTTTAAAAAGCAAAACCCATTACTCACTCAATCTTGTGACATAGTTTCTTCTTTCGTAAAGGAAATAATACTTTAAGCCTTACAATTATATCATCAGAATGTCTAACTTTCAATTTTCTCTGTTCTATCTTTCTATATTTAGTTAGTTTTGTTACACTTGCCCTAACTTTGATTTTCTCATTGATGAGTATAACATGTATCATCTGGATATTAGTTACAATCTGTAAAGTGTGTACATATCGAAGAAATTATAACCATATGAAATCAAGAGAATGTTTTGAAGAAATAAGACCATCGAGTCGATCTATTTTGCAAAGGAAAGAATCTTTAAGAAGTTTGGAAATAACAGATGATGACTAGGCATGAAATTTATTGATACATTTTATGACTTCATTAACCGAAAGTGAATATTCTATCACATGATTCTCAATGTATTTTTGTAATATGTAAAGCTTTTTAAATTACCCAGGATCACAGATATTTCTTATCATTATAACAACTTGATTATAATATCAGTTGTGAAAAGAATTACATCATAAGTGTGTAATCAATATGATCAAACACTGACGATCGATAATGTTTCACTTTTCTCATTCAAGAAATGTAAACATGTTCTTCTCAGATATTTACTTAGTTCTTTGGCTATCTAGTGTAATAGTCTTTGTGTTTTCATATCTATACCATTCAGTGTACAGTATAATAACCATGTTAACTCAGTTACTGGTGTTAGTGTCTCAGATAGAAAGAGTTGAATGTAGTCAAATCTTTCTATTGAGCACCAAAAAATAATTTTGTGCTTTCACGTTGGTATAGAATAAATAGTAGTGTCATTTCGGCACAAAGAAGAACTATTCAACTACTAATTTTATGTATTTGGATGCACTCGGAATAAAATTCAACTGGACCAACAAATTCAGATAAACATTAACAGACAGATTTTTGGATGACGTAATTAGGAAACCAAGTTTATCTGAAAAATGTGATGTGTTTTTGTCATAAATTTACCTCTTAAGGGATTTTATATGAAAACTGGAACAGCGGGTAGGATAAGTACTACTTGAAAGAGCTCAATAATAAGAAAGATACTGAAGGGGAAATGACAAGATTTGAAGACAATCTTGGTAATACGATAAAATAACCATGAGTATGTGACTTGTGACTCGGTGGCCTAGTGGATAATGCTCTGGGGTTCGAAGCGAATGATCTGGGCTTTGAGTCTCAGTGAGGATAACACCACTCACTGGGAGGCAGACACATCCAGATAAAGAGTACTAAAGTGGATTCCACTAATAGCCACTACTCACAGTTAATATTAATAAGGCAGGTTTATCTTAAGAGCAAACTGTTTTTAACGCACAGTCAGGGACCTGAAATACTGTATTGCTAGTGCTCCTGACAGTCTCTCTAAGAAATTATAAGAGCTGTTTAAATGCCAAGCCTGGGATGTTTATCATAATTGTCTTTTCAAACAAATCATGATGATGATATTCCAAAATAAAACTTGGGACGAAAATGTCGATTCTTAGTAATCAGCCAAAACCACTGGAAAAGCCCAGACAATGTCCAGGCATATACATGGTGGATAGTGGCTAGCAGTGGAATCCAAGACGTACGTTTCGCCCTACTTCGGTCTCGTCAGCTGGACGCACCTACCTCCCATTGAGTGTTGTCCCCACCAGGACTCGAACTCAGCACCGACCATTTTGAATGCCAGAGCGCTATCCACTAGAACACCAAGCCACGATAGCGCTTTCTTGTGCAGTTGATATGGTTTTAGTGTTGCTACTTGTATTGTCCAGTATAAGCACTAGTCTGTCAAACTACGGTTATCTCAGATAATCAAAATTTTAATCAATATAATGCTCCACCTCTGTAGGTCATTTGGATTTGGATTTGGATGACAAGTCCTGACTGACTAGGCAGCCAGTGTGAATACGATCAGACGGTAGTAATGCATCATGAATTCACATGACAGTCGGGAAAAACCTTTTGTGATTGAAGTGAAGTAAAAATATGGTCAGCAGTCGGACCTCGTAGCTCAGTTGGTAGAGCATCAGGTCGAAAACCCGGTGGTCGGTGGTTCGGATCCGACTGTGGTCTAAAGTTTCACCTCCGCTTCAGTCTTCACTCAGTATAAATAGTAGTCTGGCAAACTACGGCTATTTCAAATACTTAAGTGATAAACAAGCACCAACACTAGTGTTCAGGTATAATTGGACAAATTTCATCAGAACCAACCCAGGGATATAAACATGTTACCACTTAGCTAAGTGTTGTTAGAGCTGTTACTTTACATGAATAACCATGAAGACGGATGATTGTAATAATTTATCCAAATATCGATTGATTTTTAAGTGACATACAAGAAATAGTTTTAACTCGGTGTTGTATATTATTATACCGTCATTGTCTGGACCTAATTGATCAGACTCTATTGGCATATGAGTTCCTGTGTTGTAATTATAGTTATGATGGATGGTGGCTAGCAGTGGAAACCCAGTGAGAGATGCTGTTCTCCCTGGGGTTCGGACTCAAGCAATCATACTAAAACTATACCCGTCACAAAAGAAGTGGCTATCGTGGCTCGGTGGTCTAGTCGATAATGCTCTGGTGTTTGAAGCGATCGGTCCCGAGTTCGAATCCTTTTGGGAATAACATCACTTACTAGGGTACAGGTACATCCATCTGACGAGTCCTAAATATGACATTATGGTGATCTAGGATTCCACTGCTAGCCATTATCCATCATTACTACAATCAGAACACAGGCAATATCGAAGCATCTGCAAAGGAGCCCATATGCCAATAGAGACTGATCAATTCATTCCAATCAACGATTGTATTAAAAAAACAAGCAAGAATTAAAATGTTTTGAAAGCACCTAGAGGAACCGACTCATCATTATCTAAATCAAGGATGAAACAGGAATTTCCAAAAGTGATGAATCTTAAAGGGAATCAAAGTTATTCCAATACCTTGATAAACTATTTGAAGTTTCTTATTGGTTTTCATTTAGTAGCATTTTGAATTTACCTGATCCATTGTTCTTTTCTGGTTGACGAAATATAACATAATAGCAAAAGTGAGTAGTTAGAAATCACTTACGCTAATCTGTAGGTTTCGCTAGATCTTAACATCGGATAGCTGTTTCGCTCGTTTGGGGCTAGGCTAATCAATGGTATAGTCGGAGAAACCCACTTAACATACCCAAACTCTTCAGATAAGTTGACCCTTATGGACCTCAGAGTTCAGTAATCGAACGTTCAATTTCTAAATCATTCGTTAGCTGATCATCCTACTCTTCCATATATCAGCAGCGATTTTGCTAACTTTATCAGGTGTATGGTCGGTAGAAGATTGAAAAGCCTTTAACAATACTTGTTTTAGACAATAGAGACTTATTAACACAAAACGAGCCAGTAAATTTCATGCAAAATAAGGAGTAGATCGGGAGATTTATTACTTTACAGAGTACGCAGTTATCTTTTTATCTGTCAGCTGAAGTGTTGTTACTTTTAGGGAGCGTATCTACTTTGCTTCAACCAAGTTGAAATTATCAATCAGTATAAAAAAAACATCATACTTTCGATCAAAATTTAGTTTCGTAGGTTTATTTTAAAAATAGTTAAAAACTAAAATTAACTGTTTCTTTGAGGCATTTCACTTGACAATTAAGATGTCTGTGCTTTTACACTCCAAATGATTGCTGTGAAATGAGTCGATAAAACATGAAAACCTAACAATAGGGTGTAGTCATTAAGTGGTATGTGAATATGCATAATTTTATTGAGAGAAATTTTTCAATCAGTGGGTTGGATATACATGCTTTCAGATAATCAATTTATTCATTGAGATTTTCATCCTAATATAAGTAAACAATACTATTTACTGAGGATGTTTGAGATGCGTTTCTCACCACTTAAATGCAAGTTGCTGCTCCAGGATTGGCGTTCAACGGTGCCACGGCTAACAGTAGAGAGTGTAGTGGTGGAGTGTCTTGACCACTTCACTTACCTGGAAAGTAGGAATGGGTTAGTAAGCAACCAATAAGTTCTGATCGTCAACTTACGCCACATGTAGCGCCGCCGTGATATCCGATTGTCTACTAAGGGTCGCGTATACTGCACAGCAGTCTGTTCTACTGTATGACTGTGAAACATGGCCACTGAAGGTGAACGACATGAGAAGGCTTCAAGTGTTTGACCACCGTTGCCTTCGTAGTATAAGCCGTATTCCGTGGTGTCACCACCTGAGTAACGCAGAAGTCAGGAGTAGAGTTTTAGGGAATAGAGGTAAATCAGTTGACAAGGTTATGAATCTTCATCGACTGAGATGGTTTGGACACGTGTTAGGTATGTCTGGTTGCCGATCGCCTCGTCACACAATGTTGGCCGAAGTAGTTTCACGCTGGAAAAAGCCTTGAGGTGGCCAGACTAAAACATGGCATCAATATATGAAGTCTGTGACTGCTGGTTTGAGCCATGTAGGGTGATGCAGACTGGCCGGTTGGGGTCCATGGGACATGTGAAACCAGTGGTTGGAGACAATGGGTAATATTGCTCTGAGCTGATGTAAGCAGCGCAAATATATACACACATTATCCTCATCTAAACTATGTTATACCGAATCTCACCATTTTCTCATTCTTCCTTTCTCCCTTTTAGTACTTTACATTTTTTTCTACTGAATTTTTCTTTCTCTACCTTCCACCTCATTGTTTTTTTACTTGATGTACTGATATGAGGTATGGCAAGTTGGACCGTTACGCAGTAATGCATGGTCCCATACTGATTTCGTTCATTTATGAGAGGAGGACTTTTAAAACACTTCACTCAGTGAACACAAAACATTAAAAAAGTTTAGACAACTTTTGTAAACTTGTGTAAGCTTATGTGTACTGTAAAAAGCATGAAATGAATAACAATGTTGTGTATCATTGTGAAAATGACTGAACGTCAACTTTATAGTTATTATTACTATTGCTATTATTAAGATGCAAACATGGTACAGCAAGCGCACTAACAAGTGCGGAACACAAAATGATATAGCACTATGAAGATACAAAGCAAACCAAAGTGAATAAATGAAGAAGAAAACCACAATGAGGATAGAATGAATAAAAAGACAGTCGCAGAAGATAGGTTGAAAACAAACCATTCATTACTTTTCAGCAACAGAATACAGGAGGAAGCTACGGCATGACCACCATGATTCCCCATTCTCAGCCATATCTGATAATGTCTCTAGCCACTGAATTGCATGATCTCTCGGATCCCACCCAGATAGTCGTGATGCAACAACAGGTGTTAAACCGATACAACTATCCTTCATACAGTGACGCCAGGTCACACACTGATCAG